AGGAAGTGCAGCCAGAATGCTTCTTGGAGGTGAGAATAGCCAGACTTCATCTCATCTACTTTGGTCATGTTGTCAGAAGCGACCATTCCCTGGAGAAGGATGTCATGCTTGGTAAGGTGGAGGATCGAAGAAAGAAGGGAAGGCCCTCAATGACATGAATTGACATGGTGGCAGTGGCAGTGGGCTCAAGTATAGCAAGGATCATGGAGCTGGCTCAGGACCGGGCGGTGTTTTGTTCTGCTGTGCATTGCTATGAGTTGGAGATGACTCCATGGCATCTAACTGTGAGACCCCCTCCCCTCCAGGTAATTATTCTTTAACTAGGAGCCATTAGTGCCGGGGACTCCAGCACGTTCCCCACACCTCAGGGCTTTACCTCACAGAGCCCTGAAACACCCTCCCCTCCTTTTCTACCCCCTAGCAACAACCAATCATTTATCAGCTAATACCTCATTGCTTTTGTGTTACTCCACCCTGTATTTTTCCTATAAAATTGTAATTGTAGTAGAGCATGTGGTCTTTGCCCAAACTGCTGTGTCAGTGTAAGCAGAGACCCTAGCTCGAGCTAGCCAATAAACTTTCCTTTTGTTTTTGCATTATCTTGTGAGTGGCAACTTCCTCGCGCTGACACTCCTTTCGGAACCTGGGACCAACATTAACAACAACAACAACTGGACCTACTGTGTGGATTACACCTCAACACCAAACCAACAAAAATCCTCACGACCGGACCAACAAACAACATCATGATAAATAGAGAAGAGATTGAAGTTGTCAAGGATTTCATTTTACTTGGATCCACAATCAATGCTCATGGAAGCAGCAGTCCAGAAATCAATCAATGTATTGCACTGGGCAAATCTACTGCAAAAGACTTCTTTAAAATGTTCAAAAGCAAAGATGTCACTCTGAGGACTAAGGTGCACCTGACCCAAGCCATAGTATTTTCATTCACCTCATATGCATGTGAAAGCTGAACAATGAATAAGGTAGACTGAAGAAGAATTGATACATTTTGGGTTGTGGTGTTGGTGAAGAATTTTGAATATATCATGGACTTCCAGAAGAATGAATACTTGTGCCCTAGAAGAAGTACAGCCAAAATGCTCCTTACCATGCAAGGATGGTGAGATTTCATATCATGTACTTTGGTCAGGTAATCAGGAGGAACCAGTCCTTGGAGAAGGATATCATGCTTCGTAGAACATCCACCGCTAGTCTGTCAGTCTGTCATACTGTGGTGGTTTTGTGTTTCTGTGAGGCTGGAGGCTATGCCACCAGTATTTCAAATATCTGGTGGACAGATTTCAGCAGAGCTTCCAGACTGAGACACACGCAGAAGAAGGAAGCGGCCATCCACTTCTCTAAGAATTGGCCAGTGAAACTTTATGAATAGCAGTGAAACATTGTCTGATACATGACTGGAAAGCTTTATGAATAGCCCTGAAACATTGTACAGCAAGGATTGTGAGGCTGGCTCAGGACTGGGCAGTGTTTCCTTCTGTTGTAAATAAGGTCTCTGTGAGTCAGAGCCATCTCCATGGCACCTAATAACAACTTAGTAGGTTTTTTTTTTTTTTTTTAATGTTGTTGTTGGGTGCCATGAAGTCAATCCCAACTCATAGCAACCCCATGTGGTAGAGTAGTACTGCCCCATAGGGTTTCTTAGGCAGAAGGAGCCCTGCTGGTACAACACTCCACTGCTAGTTAGACTAAAGGTTGGCAGTTCGAACCCACAGCTCTGTAGGAGAAAAACATCACCAAACACCAGCAAAAAAAGAATAGCCTTAAGCAGATGGGTTGATAGAATGGCTGCAACAATGGGCTGAAAGAATGAAAATTGGCTCAAAAGATTGTGAGGATGGTACACTGAAGAACCGGAAGGAGCTTCTGGACCAGACGTGGCCGTAGAGAGAAAAATGAGACTTCCCCAGCATGCCCTGTGTGAAGTGCTGACTAAGGGACAGGTAGGGTGTGGCATCACTGAGGACAGCATGGAGGACAGATGGCAGCAACAACCAGATCGCCACCTCCCACTGAACCATGCCCCAGCTTGGCACCATGTAAGCCCCTTGGAATTATCCAAAACCCAGGACAATTTGGGGCTAGGGAGAAACCTTAAATAGACTGAGATTCCATACCAACCACCCAGGAAGATGAGGATCCAGAAGGTTAGTGGTTCAAACCTACCAGCCACTCCAGTGAAGCAAGACTGGGCAATTACTTCTATAAAGATTTACCATCTCAGAAACCCAATGGGGGTGGCTATGAGTAGGAATTGACTCCATGACAGTGGATTTGGGGTTTTTTTTAAGTCTATTCCGACTCTTAGGAATCCTATAGGGCACAGTAGAACTGCCCATTGGGCTTCCTAGGTTGTAATCTAGGAAGGAGGAGGAGGCAAATGGCCAGGTCTTTTCTCCTACAGAGCTGTGGGTTTGAACTACTAACCTTTAGGCTAACTAGCAGTCGAATGTTGCACCAACAGGGCTCCTTCTGCCTAAGAAACCCTGTGGGGCAGTATGACTCTGACAGACAGCATTGCTATGAGTTGGAATTTACTTGATGGCACCCAACAATAACAGTTAAAAAAAAAAAACCAAAACACTGCATTTTGAGCACATTCAATTTGTAAACTAGTTTTTTAAATTATTATTATTATTTTAACTTGCTGTGCTCAATGAAGGAGCTCTGGTAGCATAGTGCCTAAAGCACTTGACTGCTAACCAGAAGGCTAGCGGTTCAAACCAGGCACTCCTTGGAAGGAAGGTTGGGCAATCCACTTCCTAAGTGATACTGCCTCGGAAACCCAAGGAGGGGTTGCTATGAGTCAGGTCCGACTGGATGGCAAATAACAACAACATGCTCAATGAATATTTGCCAAAGTAATGCCAGATTACCGGCACTTCTCTACAGCCCTAATTTTCTTGTGCTTTGATTTAATTATCAGAGCACATACGCTTCCCTGACTAAATTGTCAATGGCTTCAGGGCAGGGACCGGCTTATTCAGCTTTAAATCCTACACACACGCATCCTAGGCAGAGTATAAACCGAATAACTATGGAAATGTTTGGCATTTTCCTCCAGGCTCCAAAATCAAAAAGGTCCCCACCCCCCACCAGGTGCTAGCCAGCCCCTTTGCTCCCATCTTCTAGAGTGGCAGACTCCTCAGAGCTGGGAGCAGGCCCTTTATGGGAGTGGACCCTTTAATGCGGGCGTCCAATGCTGCAACCTGCCTGAGAATGAGTCTGTTAGAATTGAAAACACGTCTGTGGTCAGTAGAGAGCTCTGTCCTGCTCAGCCACTGTGAACTTGAGGCTTGGGGTGAAGCAGAGGCAGGGAGGCCAGACTCCTCATGGTGACTGGGCCAAGCGATGGACAGGCCAGGGCAGGGGCACCACGTCTCTCTGCCCTGGGAGGCCCTGGAGAGTGCTGAGGATTTGGGGCTCCCCAGAGATGGCGCCCAGAGTCTGGTAGTCTAGACCCTCGGCCTCCCACCTGGGCTGCCCCCACCCCCACCCCCCACCCGGGATAGTCCTCTCCAGGGCCCCAGCTATTTTCTGGCTGCCTGGCCCCACGCCAACATTTTATTCTGGACTCTGGCAGCAGTCCTTAGTATTCTGCCCATGAGTGCTACATTTGGACATGGGGATTTGGCCCCCTGGTCTGTATCTGTAAGTTGTTCCCCACGTGGCTGTCCTTCCTTTGTGGTCAGAAGGCCATCACTGGCTACCGGCTCGGCCCCTATCTCAGTGGGGCCCCTGCTGCCTTCCCGAGCAGGCTGGAATCCCGGCTGTGCGCCTGCCAGCTGGCTGACCTCAGGCAGGATGCTGAACTTGTGGCCACCACAGTGCCCCCTTCCCCGCTTCTGTGCCCTCTGCAGCCCCAGTGCCTTGGTCTGCTGCCTGGCAAAGGCCCGCTGCCCCGCCCACTGCCCCATGGGACAAGGCGCTCCACCTCCCCAGCCTGGCGCTGGGCCTGCCACTGAGGGGTGGCCTTAGAAGGTGAGCTCTTTCCCTCACCTTCCCGCCCTCCTTCTTCTCTCTATGCTCCTCCCCCTCTGGTCCCCCTTTTCTCTGCTCCCTCCTTCTTCCTCTATTCCCCTCCCCTCTTCTCTCCTTCCTTCTGTCCCTCCTCTTCCTCTTGCTTCTCTCTCCTCCCTTTCCCTTCCTCCTCTCTGCAGTGTGTACATGAGTGCACGCACAGACAGACACGCAGAGACACAAAGGCGCATACGTGCACATGCACGTGTGCACACACACACACACACTCCCATGGTCTGCCTTCTCACCCTTCCTCACCTTGGCCTCACCCACCTGCTCTAAACAAAACCAAAACTCAAATCCCCCTCCAGTGCATTCTGACTCATAGTCACCCTATAGGATGGAGTAGAACTGCCCCATAGGGTTTCTTTACAGAAACAGACCGCTGCATCTTTCTCCCTTGGAGTGGAGTGGCTGCTTTGAACCTGCCACTTTCCAGTTAGCAGCCGAACGCTTAACCACTGCACCACCAGGGCTCCTCCCATCTGCTCGAGGGGACAAAAAACTCCAGCTGGAGACTGAGATGTTTCAGAGTCTTTTATTGAAACCAGGTGAGTCACTCCATTGACTGAGAAGGCATGCTAAGTCCCGGACACTCCAACACCTCCCTTGGGCTGGGCATGGCTGCTCTGCCCTTCCAGACCTCACCTTCATGCCAAAGGGACACTCTGCTGCCTTCAGGGGCAGTGATGAATCAAAGAATTATTGTAGCTGGGGCTCAGGTTAGGGCTTGGGTTTGGGGCTAATGGTGAGGTGGAGCTGTGGGTCAGTTAGGAGGAATTGGGTTGGGATTTAGGCTTGAGGAGGGTTAAGGATGACCCAAAATCTGCAGGCTACAGAGAATGACTTCACACGAGCAAAGGGTAGGCTGTTCCCAGCATCCCACCCCACCCCAGGTGACGGCACTCCACAGGGAACCCCCTCCCTGGGCTAGGGAAGTGATTAAGGACATCTGCCCTCAGCCCCTGCCTCTCCTGCCCACCTCTCAAAAACAAAGCAGACACTCCAAACAAACTATGTTACTACAGGAGGCGCAGCCCCGCCCTGTCCTGGAGCCGGGTCCCAGGTGGGTGGGGGCGGGTCGAGGGCCTAGCCCTGGAAGCCCAGCTCCTTGTACTTGGCCGCGATGTCATTCCGGAACAGCTCCAGCGCCTTGCTCATGGCTCCCTGGGCATCAGCGCCGAAGTCCCCGGAGTGCTTGCTTTGAATGACCTGGATAATGGCTTCCGAGATGAACTGCAGGGACAGGGGATGAGAGGGGCACAGTCACCAGGGTGGAACAAGCCAGGATCCAGTGGGGAGTCAGACATGGCCCACCTGCTCTATTTCAGCTCTTTATGGAGCACTTACTACGCACCTAGCACGGTTCTGAGTGATTCTCATGGGTTAACTCCTTTAATCCCACAAGCCCTTGAGACAGATGGGGAAACAGGCACAGAGAGGTTAAGCTGTGTACCTAGGTCACATAGCCAGAAAGGGGCAGAGCTGGGATTTGAACTCAGGTGTCCATTCTTTTGCCACTACCCTCTGCTACCCTTCAGGAGGGGCACCCAAGCAGCAAGGAGCCTTGGGCCACCTTTGACATGGGGGCCACAGAAGAAAAAGGGAAGTGCTCAGATTCTGTGATTTTATCAAGGATTTTCCCAGTCAGAAAATCTAGAAGAAACTATTTCCATTCATTTGTTTTTAAATTTTGAATTTAATGATTTAGCATGTCTATTGCCTTCAATACCCTATTTGGAGGAAGTAGATTTTCAAGGAGCTCTGATGGCATAGTGGTTAAAGCATTGGGTCAGTGGTTCAAATCCACCAGCTGCTCCACAAGAGAAAGATGAGGCCGTCTGCTTCCATAAAGACTCACAGCCTTTGAAACCTTATAAGGCAGTTCTACTCTGTTCGCTAGGGTTACTGTGAGTTGGAATCGACTTGATGGCAGTGGATTTGGTTTTAGGATCAAGTTTTCAGAGCCAAGCACAGAAATATTGGTGAGAGAGAAGGAGGGAAGGAAAGGGATGAGGCGACGGGTCCCCCCAAGGGCTGCTAACACCTTAGACCAGTGACATCACCACCACTCGCTTTGAATCCACAGTCTCCTCATTAGGGAAAGGCTAGTCAGTGGAGAACAGAGAGACCGAGGAACTGCTATAGGGACTGAAAGACATCGTGGACTTAAAATTGCTACTGTGCTTTTTGTCTCTGGGTGGCACAAACAGTTGAGCACTCGACCACTCACCAAAAGTTTGTCACTCCTCAGAAGGAAGGTTGGGCAATCCAACTTCTGTAGTGATACTGCCTCAGAAACCCAAGGAGGGGTCGCTATGAGTCAGGGCCGACTCAACGGCACGTAACAACAACAACAACAACAACCCACCCAGGCACCTTGGAAAGCAGCCCTGGTGATCTGCTTCCAAAAGGCCACTCTGCACATGTGGGGTGGCTGTGAGTTGGAATCGACCCCACGGCCATTAGCAACAACCATCACACATCACTGGGATACAGAAATGAAAGAGAGCCAATTTCTACTCTCAAGGCACTTATGGCCAGTAGGGGGGACAGTTGTGTAAATGATAATACCGTCAGGAAGGTGCTATGACAGAAAACGTCTAGGGGGACTGTCAGGTGGAGCGACAGACCACCTTGTGGGCCTGGGAGCAGGAACAGAGAAGGTGGCTTCTGAGCTGGAGGATGGACAGGGATTTACCAAGACAGGAGGGCAGGGACCACAGCACTGCAGAATCTCTCAGGCAGGGCTGGCTGGGCATACCTGTGAGTTGTGATGCTGAGTGAGTGGGGCAGGTGACATCATGTGTGGAGGCAGGGAGAACGCAGGGAAGTGAGGCTGAAGAGGGATAGTGGTGGTGGTCATTGATGGGACATACTGTGCCATGGGAGATTAAGAGCTTCAGTTCCAGAGCACCATAGATCTGACTTGACTTCTTGGCGTATTAGCTGTGTGCTTTGGGCCAGCTACTTAACCTCTCTGAGCCCTCAGTTTTCAAATCTGTACAATGCAGATGAGGATAGTACCTGCCTGGGGCACAGACTGCTAATTGCCTACCTCATATTCATTGTCTTCTTCCTTGGCAGCAGAGCTTTGGTTTTATACCAGTGGCAACAAACTACATTTCCCAGCTTCCCATGCACATGGGTATGGTCTTATAATTAAGCTCTGGCTAATGAGATGTAAACAAAACATATTGGATGAGATTTCTGGGAAAATTTCTTAAAAGAGAGCCTCTTTTCTTTTAGCTTCCTGTCCTGGGATACGGACCAGATGGCAGGAGCTCTAGCAGCCATCTTGAGCCATGAGGCAACCTTGAGAATGGACACGGTACACAGGAAGAAAGGGTCTGTGTCTCTGGTGATTGTGGTGCCACCACACCAGCTCTGAACTTTTTTATGTGAGAGGAGAGAAGGCACTGAATGCAATTCCTAACCTTAGGGGGTTGTTGTGAGAGTTCCGTGGGGACCCAGCTAAATGCTCACCGTGGCTCAGCCTACCTGGGAGCTGCCATCATTATCCTCATCCTCATGACCACACCAGCCTTCCTGTCGCTTCCCCCCAGAGGATGCACTGATTCATAGGGTCCTTTAGTCTCCCTTCCCTCAATGCTTCCTCCCTCCCCCAGTTACAGAGACAGCACCTTAAGCTCAGGCTCCCCTAGGTCCACGCAAGTCCTTAGCCCATTTCAGGAGGTCTGAACCAATTGCTGTGCCTGGGATACCTGATGTTCTTCACCTGTAAAGATATTGAACTACTAGAGCCAGTCTGCTGCTACCCCATTTCTGTCACATGAGCCCTGGAAACCCCAGACTCCAAATCACAGGGCTTAGGAGCTGGGACTCTGGAGTAACGGAGACCTGAGTTGAAATCTTGACTCTGCCATTTGCTCCCTCTGTGACCATGGACCAGTTACTGCACCTCTCTGTGCCTCAGTTTTCTCATCTATCCAGTAGAGATGATAATGGCCTCTACCCATGGAGAGACTGGAAGGTCTGTACCAATGTCTGTCCTCCCCTCTCCCTTGGTAACTATATACTAATTTTATTTGAGGAAGAAATGTGTGCACTCTCAATGACCCCAGAAGGGATGCCAAGTGGGTGACATCCCCATTTTACAGATGAGAAAACTGGGATACAGGGGAAGTGACAGAGGCAAGGTCAGCCACCAAGGCAGTGGCTGAGCTGGAACTCAAACCCAAACTTCATCCCCTCAGAGGCCTCTCCCCAGGCTCCGCCCACCCTGGCTTCGCCTCCCACCTCCAGGTACTTGACGGGGATCTTGTGCTTGGTGGCATGGCTCTGGGCCAGGGGCTGAATCTCTGCCTGGTGCTGCCCCTTCTTCTTGAGGATGCCCCCCAGGGCGGTAAGCACGGTGGTGCCATGTTTCTTCAGGTCCTCGGAGGCCTTCATCTCGTCCTCTGTCTTCAGGTGCTTGAACCTGTCGAACTTCTCCAGGGTCTCGGGATGACCCTTAAAGAGCCTGTGGGCACAGGAGGCTGGAGTCAGAGGCAGGGATGCACAGAGGGTCCGCAGGCAGCCAGAGCCGAGTGCAAGTCCAGACTCCCCTGCTTCACCTCTCTGTGCCTCCACTTCCTCATCTAAGGAATGGGGCTGCCAATAGTCACTACCTTAGGGAAGTGCTGTGAGGAGTAAAGGAGACAGAATATGCTAGTGCCAGCAGGGGGCCTAGGTGACTATCTCCTATTCTCTCCTCTGCCCACTCGTCTCTCCTCTCCTTCTCCTTCTCCTTCTCCTCATTTAATAAGCCCTGTGAGGTTGGTCCCTGGGCGGAGCAATCAGTGCTTGACTACTAGAGTTTGGAAGTTGGAACCCATTGAGGAGCACCATGGAAGAAAGACCTGTTACTCTGGTTCTGGAAAGGTTACAGTCAAGGCAGCCCTATGGGGCACTTTCCTACTCTGGAACACGGAGGGTCATCATGAGTTGAAATCAACTTGATGGCAATAGGTTTTTGAGGTAGACACCATTCACTCTACAGGCAAGGACAGAGTGGCCAAGTAACGGCTGGCGTTTTAACCCAGGCAGCCTAGCTGCATGTCTATACTCTTGATGACTACTGTTGTTTTGTTTCTTACACCAAGAAACTTATGCACACAGAAAAATATACACTTACCAATGTGCACACATGAGAGTTCTTGTACATACATGTGCATGTTCACATATGCACCCATACAGTCACAGAACACTCACAGAGGTGCTCATAAATGTCTCACAAGCACCCACTTACATGCACAAGCACGCACACAGGCTCCCCCCACAGACACACACACACATGAACGCACATGCATGTGCATATGCACACACACACAGGCACACTCCCACACAGACACAGATTCACAAACACTCCATGTTGCATAGACACAGAACAATTCCTCCTCTGGTTGCATAGCTTGTGTTTCTCCAGAATGCCCATGTCTGCCCACAGCTGTGCCCAATGTCACCACCTCACCCTTGGGCCTGTCCAATGTCCTAAGTGTCACTGACAGCTTGTCTCTGGCACTTTTCACCCAAGGGTCCCCAAGCACCTGACTATTATTATCTAGTGACAGTGATCCTTGTACTCCTGCCTGACAGATGGGAGACCTGGCACCACAGACAAAGGCGTGTCAGGACACTGAGAGGAGACTGTCTGGGGCGGGAGTGGGCTGAGGACCTGTGACCCACAGGCGGCAGGGCATCTCAGACATGTCAGGGTCCCCTCCTCAAAGTCCAAGGAAAGGATAGGGGTCTGAGGACCATGGAAGCTAGATCTGCCTCCAACTCTGTCTCCAATATGCTGTGTGATGTTGAAAAACCCATCCAATCTCTCTATGTCTCGGTTTACCTATTTATAAACTGAAAGTTTGGTCTAGATGATTTCTTAATCTCCAAATTTTAAGGCTTGTCCTCTGCCTACCCTCCACATTCAGGCATCAGTCAGAACAGTAGCCCAAATTTAATTTTAAATAATCCAGAGGAGTTGGGTTAACTAGTCCCCCCTCCTACTCGGGCATGACAGGTCCTTAAGTCCTACAGCTAAGGGCTCCCAGGACAGCCACAGATGGCCAACTTCCCAGATTTGCCGGCAGCAGGGACCCAGAAAAGGAGCAGACAACAACCTCTCCCCTTGTGGGAAGGGGCGGAGGGCCTATCCACTGGTGTCTTAGAGTCTTCAATCCCATCATCAACCTGCCTAGTTTATCCACCAGTTCTCCAGGCAAGTCAGAGAGCAAGGAGGTCATTTCCCTGCTCTGAACTGAGGCCCAACTGGACATCCACATGGAAGCCTGAGGACTCTCCCAGACCCATGAACACCCTTCTGTGTTCCAGAACAAAAAGAACCAGAGTGGGAATGACACTCAACTCTCATGTAGCAAGATGGTGGAGCAGTGCCGGGAGCAGGGAAGCTGGATCCAAGCTGCCTGGTTTGAATTCCAGCTCCCATCTTCTTTGCTGTGTGATTTTGGCCAAGTTACTCAACCTCTCTGTGAAATGTGGATGATGATAACAAAATCTACCCCATAGAACTGCTGTGAGGTTTAAATGTGTTAAGAGGTGTGAAGCACTTAACACTATGCCTGGCTGTCCATATGTACTGTCTAAGTCTTTGCTGTTCTCCTCCTCATCTCTATCATTTTCATCATCTCCACCATCATGACCTTCACCACCATCACCAATCAGCTCCACCATCATCTCTACTATTGTTACCATCATCATCCCCATGACCATGATCATCATTATCATCATCACCATCTTCACTGCTGCCATCATCTCCATCATCTCCACCATCATCATCTCCACCATCATCATCTCCACCACCATCACCATCACCATCACCATCATCACCACCACCATCACCATCACCATCACCATCATCACCACCACCATCACCACCATCATCATCATCAACATCACCGCCATCATCATCATCATCATTGTTAGGACCGGGAATTTTTGGTTCTGCCTATAGCTGCCATTGGCTGACTGAGACACTCAAGCTCTGATTCCTCCCTGTAACGTGAGAAGTATTGGCCATGAACAATGGTTTTCAAACTTTTCATGGCCTCAAAATTCTTCATTCAAACGAAAGAAGCAAAAATTAATGAAACAGAAAAGGAAAGGCAGGAGCCCCTTCAGCCGGCTGCCTCTGGAGCCAGAATCACTAACTGATGTCCCTGCATTTCTGTCCTAGAACTCTATGACCATGTACTTGCAATGAAGGCCTCAGCATTTGGCCAACACACGCAGGTTACCAGAATTGTCTCGCTTTTGTGATCAGAGAGTTTGGAGACAAGGTCAGTCAGAAAGGCCAAGGTTGGCCTCATAAACAGAACCAGAGGCCAGTTCCCATGGAGGCAACTGCAGCCCTGGGTGTTAGCATTTATTTTCTTTCCCACCCAAGGAGGCCACCCTCTCTGTACCCCAACCACTGGAGGATAGCACCCATTGTCAGGGTCTCTGCACATCTTGCAGCTAAGATGTGACAGGGCACTGTGCCCTCTGGGGCCTTCCAAGGTCCAGAAGTCTCGGAGATCATGTCTCCTCCCTGGCACCTGGCACCCGGCCCCCTGGCAGGCCTTTCAGATCCACTCTGAGAAGGGAGGAAATATTTCCCAGGTGACACAACATTTCAAGGCTCCTCAACACCCCAGTGACCCCAGTCACTGCCTCAGGGCTGGCAGCCCCCAGACACCTTGAAAACTATCCCCCACACACTGCTCTGCAAACTCTAGTCTTCCCTTGACCTTTAGCACTCTGCCTCCTCTCTACAAACAAGAGAAGACCATGGACTCAGAAAATCCTAAGACATACCAGAAGAGAAGGATCTCAGACACTATGTCAACAGCCTGTCTCTTGACCAATAGGGAGCTAGGACCTAGAGAGATATAGTGACTTGTCCAAGGTCACAAAGCAATTGAGTGGCTGAGGTATTGATGTTAACTCAAGGAGAGTCTTTTGGGGATTCAGGGTTTCCTATCAGGAGATATCAGTGCAGCCCTGGTGGCCAGAGACAAGTGGAGGAAGACATAGGGAACACCCCAAGATGTCAGTTAGAGCCAACAGAGACCTTGACTGTCCTCCCTCAAGTGTTTCTCCTCCTTCCTCACTGCCCTCGAGTCGGATCCAACTCATAGCGACCCCTCCTTGGGTTTCCGAGGTGGTATCTCTACTGAAGTAGATTGCCCAATCTTCCTTCCGAGGAGTGGCTGGTGGGTTTGAACCACCAGCCTTCAGGTTAGCAATACCCCGTAGTGATACTGCCTCGGGAACCCAAGGAGGTGTCGCTATGAGTTGAGTCTGACTCGATGGCGCATAACAACAACAGCAACAAATTATACATATATATATATATATATATATATATATATATTTTTTTTTTTTTTTTTTTTCCCCAGGATCCGCTTACTGTAAAAACTTGGAGACCACATTACTCTTAGCAATTCAAGACATACTCATGTCATTAAGGAGCCCCTCCTGTCTTCTTGTCTCTAACTGCAGCACCGTGAGACATCCCTGGTGTAGGTCTCGCCTATCATGGGCAGGAACCCCTAGAACTCACTGCGTGCAGGAATGTGGCCAAGCCCCTCACACACACCGCCTTATTTACTTTTTCCTGCCACTCTATGAGGTACCCAGCCCATTGTCATGGAGCAGATTCCGACTCATAGTGACCCTATAGGACTAGGTGGAACTGCCCCTTAGGGTTTCCGTAATCTTTATGGAAGCAGACTGCTTCAGCTTTCTCCCACAGAGTGGCTGGTGGGTTTGAACTGACAACCTTTGGGTTAGCAGCCAAGTCTTTAACCATTGCAACACCAGAGCTCCTTACTCTATGAGGTAAGTATTAGGATATCCCCCGTTGTACAAGGAGGCTGTTGAGGCTCAGAGAGGTTGCATAACTGCCCAGTAGTCACGCAGCTGCTTGGTGGCAGAGCTAGGACTAAAGCCAGACCTGTGTCACCTCAAGGGCTATGTCTTAGCCTTGACAACTTTTGGACTTTAATCGGTTGTGACTTTGGGAATGTCCTTCTCCTCCCAGGTCCTTCTTGTCCTCATCTGTTATGAGGTGTCTAGACAAGATGTCTCAGGGCTCTCATTAACTCTGACCATCTCTAGTTCCAGAATTCCTCCCGGTGGGCTCTGGGCACCCAAGGTCTGATTCTCAAGCTTCCCCAGCTTCTGACAAGAGCCTGTGATGGAACCTCTTACCTTCTCTGACTCAAATCTCTTACACTTCAAAGTAAAGAAAGCCAAAAGGGGGTTTAACAAACTCAACTAATGTAGCCAACTGGTCAACCCCAGGGAAACCTTCCACCTTACAGCTGAACATCCTTGATCTTCAAGGAGTGGGTGATGGGGTCCATAGGGTCTCTTCCTTTTACCTGATGAGGACATCCTGCCCATGGCCCGGGATGTCAGCCTCCACCTTCCCCCAGACGTTCAACACCAACTGCCATTCCGCGTCGCTGAGCCCCATGACACAGCCTGAAGAAGATAAAAAGAGCAAGCAGGGGCTGAATGGATGTCCTGGTCCAACAGCTGGGGTCTGAGCCGGCCGGGCCCCAAAGGGGTTTTATACCTTCCTTCACACAGGTCACCTGACATCCATTCTCTCTCTCTCCTGCCTTGTCTCCTCTCTCTCTCTCTCTCATGCAGGGGTCTAATCTTTTCCTTTCTCTAGCTCTCACATGGAAGCTATTTTCGGGCCACTGCCATTGTGGGGAGGTAGGACAACTCAGGCCACTGAATGGGGGGCGGGCTGTCAAGGAGTGGGGAGGAGGCTGAGCCATGGTCTGGGCTATCAGAGGTCAACAGAAAGGGCAGCTGCCAAGGCCAATGCCAGCAGCCTGAAACCCAACTCTCCCTGCCGCCAGCCATCCCAGAAGCCCTGCCATCTTTCTAAGCTTGGGCAGCAGGCACTTGGCTGACCACAGGACAGTCCTGGCTCCTCATGGTCTCCTCTCTCCCCTTCTGCTTGGCTTGCCAGTTGTCCCTCACCCAACCAAAAGTGGTGGCAAGGGGCCCAGTGGCTTCCCGCTGTCAGCTGGCGAGCCCGGCAAACCCGCACCCTGCAGTCTGAGTCTCTGCACTCTACCCAGAGAACTCCTGGCCTCATGGCCCTGCTCAAGTAAAGCCCTCTGAGACATTTTGCTTGACATACCCCTTCCAGGCACAAGGAGTAGCTCGTTCCTTCCATGTATATGCATACGTTCCTGTTGTATTGCTTACTGCATTCCATCATCCTTCTCTGTTTTCCTGCTGTTTCCTCCATTCCTATGAAAGCAACCAATACGCACAGAGATTGGACCCTGTGCTAAGCCCTGCTCCAAGCCCTTTACATTTGGTAACTCATATTTAATCCCCAACAGGGCTAAAGGGTAGATACTGACATCATTCCCCATTTAACTGAGGGAAGGTTAAGGAAACCTGTGAAGGGCACATAGCTAGCTGGTGGAAGAGCTGGGATTTGAACTCAGGAAGCCAGCCCCTCCAACCCCCTGGGTCCATGATCCTGACCCTAGTTGTTGAACATCTTGATTTTCAGAAGAGCAGAGGCTCTGTCTTATTCATCTGTATGTCCCATGGGCCTAGCAGAGTGTCTAGCACGAAGTTTGAACTAAATAAATGCTTGTTGAATACAAAGATGGATGCCTTTGCAAGAAAGGCAAGTGGAGGTTGATGGGTCTTATTTTCCATCCATCCATCCATCCACCCACCCATCCACCCATCCACCCATCCACCCATCCATCCACCCACCCATCCACCCATCCATCTATCTATCCATCCACCCACCCACCCACCCATCTAGCAAACATTTATGGAGTCCCTGGGTAGCACAAATGGTTAAGCACTTGACTACAAGCCAAAAGGTTGACAATTTGAATCCTCCCAGAGGTGCTTTGGAAGAAAGGCCTGGCAATCTGCCTCTGAAAGGTCACAGCCTTTAAAACACTATGGAGCAGTTCTACTCTGCACCCATGGGGTTGCCATGAGTCAGAATTCACTTGACCGCAACTAACAATGACCTGACACCATGCTACATGCTGTGGACACACAACCAAATGAAACACATCCCTGTGCTCAAGAGACTCATGGTCTCCCTGGGAGGAAAGTGAGAAGAGTGAAATCACAGGAGAGTTGACCTGTGCTATGATCAAGGTGTGACCAACCCTTCTTTCCATCTGTACAGGGCTTCATGGTTTACAAAGTGCCTCTCCGGACAGGGCTATCGCTAATCTTCACAATACCCCTGCGAAGGAGAGAGCCTCATCCCCATTCTACGGGTGGAAGATGAGGCTCAGGCAGGATGAGTGGTGTCCTGTCTGCTGTGCCTGATTGGACATGTCAGTTATGACCGCCCCACCTTACACAGTTCCGTAGCCCTTTCTAAAGATACCTGCCTCACCCAGCCTTGCTGCCATGTATTGGGACCACACAATGCTCCCCCAACCTGCTGCCAGTCACAGCTGATTGGGCCAAAGCTGATACCTGACCAGAGGGAAGCCAATGGCAGGGCTTTGTCCAAACAGCCAAAGTTTATTACTTCTCCAGTCAGATTCCCTCCAGTCAGATTTTTATCTTTAAAATGTGAACAGGGACATTTGACAAGAACAGGTCAGCTGGTAGCACAAGTAGAGTGAAAGGAGGTCAAGTTCATGGTGAACACTGGGTCAGACTCCCCAGACTTAGAGCTCCTGAGTGGAACCTTGAGTCTAGAACATCCCTCCATCCTGGCCTCTGTGAAGTCCAACCCAATCACCATGCAAAGGTTTCCTTCAGCCGCCACTTCTTTATGACCCTCAATTCTTCTTCAGTGAGCCCCATTTACTGACTGAGCCGATTCCTAATGGCCAAAAGGACCAGCACCACACGGGCTGCCCATGGTGCTCTGCCCCTGACAGTGCTTTCTGGAAGTCACGCCAGAGGCTCTGCCTTAACCACGATGCCCAGTCAGTCGGGCTCCAAGGGCTGATCGAGCTTTAAGTGTTGAAGATGCATCAGAAAAATATGCAGCTGAAAATGCCCTGGGGACTTTTCAGGGGGGCATATCATTCAAGGTCCCTGGCACAAATGGTTTGCATTTGACTTCTAACCTAAGGGTTGGCGATTTGAACCCACTCAGAGGTGTAAGGTCATAGCCTTGCAAACCCTGTAGAGCTCAGCTCTGCTCTGCACACGTGGGGTCTCCACGAGTCAGAATCGAATTAACAGCAGTGAGTTTGGTGTTCCAGGTTTTATTATTATTATCATTGTTCATTCATTCATTCACTCATTCAATACCCTGTACTGTGCACCTGCTCTGTGCCAGGCCAGGATCAAAGGGAAAGACTACTCTGAGAGGGTTTGTCCAGGACTCAGACCCTCGGCAGCTTCAACCTCTACTGCGGGCCGTGAGCTGGAGGGTGAGCCAGGAGTCTGGGAGGGGAGGCAGAAGGAAGAGAGGAGGCAGCGGAGACCTGCCCCAGGCCTGTGTCCGGCGACCCACCCAGCATGCTGGGAAAGGCCACTGGGGCACCTCCTTGGCACCGCTGTCAGAATCCATAGCGGTATGTGCTAATTTCAGTCCTCAGAGTGACAGTCAGTACACGGTGTGCAGGCTTCAATGCTCTCCTGCCTTGTGCCCTAGTGAGAACCTCAGGGCAGCCCCGTGGGGTAGGCAGGGCCGCACGAAACGAACAGAAGAAAGAGTTGCCGTCAAGTTGGCTCCGATTCATGGTGCCGTCACGTGTGTCTGAGTAGAAAACCACAGGGTTTTCAGGGTTGTGACCTCTTGAAAATGATTGCCATGGTTTTCTTCCAAGTTGCCTTTAGGTGGGTTCGAACTGTCAACCTTTCAGTTAGAAGACTTACCATTTGTACCACCCAGTACTCTACCCCACTGTGGAGGAAGCAAAGACTTGGAGACTTACCAAACTGGTAAGTGGCAGAGCTGGGACTTAAACCTAAATTCTCAGCTCTCCTCCGTCTCTAAACTCCTGAGCTGTCTGGGGACAGCCTGAGTACTTAAAATCTCATCAACCCATTACCGACGCTAAAGTGTTTAATCTGAAGCTGTCACCCCCTTGGCAGGCGCCCCCATTAGCTAACGTGCTCATGGAAACCTGTGGCTTTGAAGTTGATGAATGCAACCTTTTAAGTTTTACCATTTAAGCTAATGGGAAGGCTCTGACATCTGTTTGTACTTACACATCTCTACAACAGAGCAGTAGTACCCAATGGTTGCTATGACGACCGGGAGTCACCAGCTCTGTTTGGGGACTATAATTATCGCCGTGACAGCCTTCACTGTGGCCGAGGTGGGAAAGCCGGAGATGCATGAAAGTCAGGCTGCAAAACTTCCTGCAGCCTTACACACTCACTTCACACACTCACTTCACACACACACACACACACACACTCAGCTCCCAGATAGGGTTACCCCAATGGGGCAAAGCTGGATCCCACAGAGTCTTTCTTTGTCCTTTCACATCACAGAACCTTTGAAACTGAAAATCTGAAACCTGTAGAATCCTCTCCAAGTCTTCTATTTCTAGAGTCTTGAGGTCCCAGACTTCAAATTCTAGAGTGCCAAAGTCTTCAACTTTCCCCATTCTGAAAATGGAGATTCCAGATTCCAGAATCATAAAAAGCTAGCGATAGAGAAGCCCAGAACTACAGAACCATAGGATCTTGAAGCTAAAAAAGCTTATAATGGTATCTTGCCTCATTTCCCTTTAAATGCAAGAGTTCTTCCTACAGGTCATCTACTGTCTGCTTGGATACTCCTAGGAGCAGCAAGCTCACTACCTAACACTGCAAAGGTTCTTTATATTGAACTAAATATGTCTTCTTGCCATGCTCACTTCCACGTCCTGGCTCTGCCGGCTCCTTGCCAATGTAGGGGACTAGCTGAGCCTCTCTCCAAAGCCAGTGCAGCCCCTCCACCTCACAAGGGCAGCTCTACACCCACCTAAGACTTTTCTTGTCCAACTGAGCATCCTCCAGGACTTTAACTGAGCACCCGCCGAGGCAAGCCAAGTCAGGGGCCTCAGTGTGGTGGAGACACACCTGTTCCGCAATCATCAGTGTCCCATGGCCCTCACTCCCCACCCCACCCCGTCACAGCATATGACAAGGGCACTCTCTAGCAGAGGCTTCCAGAACCCACCCCCACAGACCGAGCCCCCAGACGGCTGTGCACCAGGCCCCTCTCTTTCCCAGGCTGCAGGTCAGGGTAGGTGACCTACTAGCCCTTGGGCAGCTGACAACTCCCTCCAGTGAAGATGGGGATTGTACTTTAAGACCCCTCCCCAGAGAGATGAAAGGCATGGAAAGAACAAGAACACTTGGGCTGCTCAAAGCCAAGGGTCCCCTGAATCGTGACAGCCTCAGTTTCTCCTCCCTCAGGTGGCCACCCCCTTGGAGTGCCTGCCTTATGCCCCTCCCCTGCTCCTCAAGGTCAGCTTACTGGCCCTGGATGGCTGCCAGACCAGGACTCGGGGCAGGATGGGGGGCTGACATCGGTAGCATCTGCCCAAGCACCCTGATGAGGCAGCTAGACCCTCCAGCT